AACTAATATTTTAAGAAAAATAACTATATTCTCAAGCAAAACACATTTAATGAGAAGGGTGGTGTTGTTTCTTATTTTTTGCAAATCTCCTGAAGGCCCAGCTTTACAGAGGACTGGATTTTCTGATCTGCTTCTGCAGTCTGCTGCATTATATGTCTCGTGGCTCTGCAGAGCTCTACCAACCGCTCACAGGAAATGAGGGTGAAACAGGCTAATAACTCCTGATGGTTGTGAAAAATTGTGGCTTCACTAATCCCCTGAAAGCATCTCAGAAACTCAGCGGTTCCCAGTCTATACTTTGAGAATTTCTGTGATGTATGGAAATCAAAGGAAACCATTTACTGTGACCATCACCAAAGTGTTTCTTGTTAGGAAGAACACTGGGAGCAGAGTTGCCTGGTGGCTGAAACACAGGTATTGAGCTAAACAGGTAAGGGACTGGGTCTCAGCTTCTGCATGAGCTGTGAGACCTAGGGCCCTGGGCTTGTTTGGTTTCACAGTTGATATCTTTATATATCCCTCCCTCTTGATTATAAAGGTGATACAGGCTCACTGCAAAACACTCAAACACAACAGTGATGCATTCAGTTAAATTTGGGAACTCTTCCTCTAGTCCCCATTATTAGATGAGAATAATAATAACACTGACTTTATAATTTTCCCAAGACTATAATGAGTTTGGAAAAAAAAAAAGTGTGTGTGTGTGTGTGTATGACATTCAGAAGACTGCAGACTCTTGAATTTAGCTATGTTCTTTTCAGATGACATTTACTGGTATCCTCTGTGATGAAAATCATGGTCTTGTTCATCTTTTGCCCTTTCTTTCTGTTGGACAGAATTTTCTGATTGTGTGCCTTTTTCTTACTGATATGTAGGCATTTATTTCTTATTCTGGTTATGAATCTTTTCTCAACCTAATATCTTGCTGACTCAGGGAAAATCACAGCCTCTCAATTTATTTTTCTGTTAAAAACAGGACAAAAACATGGCTGGTGTAAAGATTAAATTAGGTAAGAGAAGTAACCCTTTTTATAAACTACAGAGGACTACAAAAACAAGGATTTATGTTATACAGCAACTTTCTCTGCAAACAAGAATCGAGACACAGATCTATTATAACCTGTTTTTTTTCTCAGCATCTACACAAAAGCAAAGAGAAAGTGTCGGAAGCTCTGCAAAATAAAGTTGAATAATGTCACCCTGTAACTTCCTGAAGAATAATTGCTCTAGGAGTGCAGGACGGCACATGACACATCAACAGGTCGTGTTCTAAAGCAGCCATGTGATTATTCCAAGAGATTTTTAAAAAACATAAAATGTACTTTAAAAATCCCTTTATTGAGGTATGATTGACATACCAAAAGCTATACTTACTTAATGCATACAATTTGATGTGTTTGCAGATAAACATACACCCATGAAACTCTTACCACAATCTATGACATTAACATAGCCATCACCTCTCAAAGTTTCCTCCTACTGTCTTTTTAAATTTATTGTTAGAATTATTATTTCTATGATAAAAATACCTAACATAAGGTCTACCTTCTTAGCAAATGTTTAAGACTACCTTACAGTATTATTAGTTATAGACTCTCTGCCTCACTGGGGGTCTCTATGGCTTGTTCATCATATAGACTGAAACTTTGCACCCTTGGACAGAGACCTCCCATTCCTTTTCCCCCAAGTCCAGTCTCTGGCAGCCACCATTCTGCTCCATGCTTCTATGGGTTAGATTATTTTAGATTTCTTATACAAGTGGAATCATGCAGTCTGTCTTTTTGTGGTTTCTTTCATTTAACATCATATCCTCCAGGTTCATCACACTCTTGGAAAGAGCAGGGTTTCCTTCTTTTTTGAGACTAAATACTATTCTGAAGTGCTCAGACTGAAAAGCAAAGGAGAGGTTGGTTTTGGGTACTGATTTTTGTGGTTCCATGGCAGCCAGGAGTCCTGTGTTGTCCTGTGAGATCCCAGGGTCAGGAAGGAGCATGGGTCTTTTGGGGGAGCTGTGTGTGTGTGTGTAAGAGAGACAGTGAGAGCCACCACATGGGGATGCACTGGAGTTGAGTCACAGCCTATGGTATTGGACAGCCTATGTGACACTGCCCTCGTCCCTCCCACACTGGGAGGTTGTGGGGGCAGCTACTGTCTCCCCATTTCCCAGGAGTGAACACTGAAATTGTGGACAGTGAATGCTTAATGAGAGGAGCTGATTGGAGCCCAGGAGGTTTCCCAGCAGCCAGTGTGGGCTCTGCCCTCTGTGCAAGCCAGTCTGGTTGGGTCAGGGCCGTGATGGACAGATGGTTGCTGAGGGTCTGGAGTCCCTGGAACCCATGCCCAGATCCTGTGCTGTTTGCTCCCAGAAGGTCGTCATTGTTCTTCAGTCACTCAGTCATGTCCGATTCTTTGCAACCCCATGGACTGCAGCACGCCAGGATTCCCCGTCCTTCACCGTCTCCCAGAATTTGCTCAAACTCATGTCCGTTGAGTTGGTAATGCCGTCCAACCATCTCATCCTCTGTTTGATCTCACTGCAGTCCAAGAGACTCAAGAATCTTCTCCAATACCACAGTTCAAAGGCATCAATTCTTTGGTGCTCAGCCTTCTTTATGGTCCAACTCCCACATCCATACATGACTACTGAAAAAACCATAGCTTTGACTAGACGGACCTCTGTTGGCAAAGTAATGTCTTTGCTTTTTAATATGCTGTCTATGTTGGTCAGACTTTATTTTGGGGGGCTCCAAAATCACTGCAGATGAGGACTGCAGCCATGAAATTAAAAGATGCTTGCTCCTTGGAAGAAAAGTTATGACCAACCTATTGGTTGTTTTTTGAATGTTGAGTTTTAAGCCTGCTTTTTCACTCTCCTCTTTCACCTTCATCAAGAGGCTCTTTAGTTCCTCTTTGCTTTCTGCTGTAAGGGTGGTGTCATCTGCATATCTGAGTTGATTGATATTTTTCCTGGCAATCTTGATTCCAGCTTGAGCTTCATCCAGGCCAGCATTTCGCATGATGTACTCTGCATATAAGTTAAATAAGGAGGGTGACAATACACAGCCCCAGGGGGTTGTACCTGCCTGGTTTTCAAATCGCCTGGGTCTGGGGTCAGGGTTTGGAAACCCTCTTCTCACCCCTCCCCCCACCAAGAATCCCAGTGTTGGACCCCTGTGATTCCAGCCTGTGTGGGACATGACCACTGAGTTCAGATTTATTTGCCGATTCCTGATGTCACACAAGTGCGAGGGCAGCACGGTAGGCTGGTAGCTTCTGTGTCAGTGGAGGAGGACAAGGTAAGGTAGGAGAAGCTTCCCTCCCGACTCCATAGGGAGTCAGGGCTGTGGGTGGTGAGGACAAGGCTGGGAAGGGGTGACGGGGTGCCGGGTGGGAGCGGACCTTGCGGTGTAGACCTTGCAGGTCCTGGTTACCTGGCTGTGCCTTTGGGGGCCAGCCCAAGGTGGACCAGGAGGGTGGCCATCTTCTGTACTTACAACTTGAAAACCAGTGGCTAGGTCTCTCTTTTTTTTATGTAACATAGATTTATTGTACATGAAATGATGTTCAGATAACTAGTTATCCTTGTGGGAAGAAACCGAAAGTAGAGCTCTAAGTCCCTTCTGATACAGCTGGACCACTGGCAGGAAGGTTCCTCCTTGGGTTGAATTGCACTCTGTCTCCCTGATGCCTGTAGTCTGAGGCCACAGGTCTGCGCAGACTGCAACTTCCTTCTTGGAGCCCCTGGGCTTGCAAAAGAGGAAGGAGGAGGGTGTGCGGCAGGAAAGGCCCCCGGGAGTTGAGGGGGCAGCAAGGTCGTGGAAGGTGGAAGGTGCATACGGGGGTGTGAGTGGTCGTGGCTTTGGTGTTGCGGAGTCATAGGGAGTAAAGGTCACATCTCATTCTCGGGACCCCATCTTCATTCCTCTGGTGATGTTTATCTCCCTGACATCTTTTCTGAAGGTGCCCTCTTCCTGTCCTCCATGACTTGTCACCATTTATAATTACAGGCGTGTCATTGTCAAATTATATTATCCCACCCTCCACCCACATTTTATATTCTGTGAGCTCAGGGACCATGTCTGTTCAGTTCACCGTGGTGTATGTCAGGTTGGCATAATGCCCGAAACAGGAAGTGCTTCAGAATTATTTTGTCTCATGGGTGAATAAATGAACACTTGGTTGGACTATGGCTTAAAGAAGGGGCTGTGTGCTGCCCTAAGGACCTAGGACTGGATTCTTTTAGCAGTGCAGCTGGAGAAGGGCAGAGAGCTATTCTGGAGCTGAACAGAGGTCTCTGTGAGGGTCCCTTCTTCCGTCAGCTTGGGGGCTGTACCCAGCGTACCACTCACTCAGTGGCTGAATGACACACATTTGTTTCTCACAATTCTGGAGGCTGAGGAATCCAAGATCAAGACACCTACAGCTCTGACGTCTGGTGAGAGCCTACTCCCTGGTTCATAGATGGCTGTCTCCTTGCTGGGTCTCCACATGGCAGAGGGGTGAGGGAGCTCTTTGAGGTCCCTTTAATAAGGACAACAGTCTTGGTTCTGAGGGTGAACCCACCCCTATGACCTAAACACATTCCAAAGACCCCATCTCCTAATACCATCCCAGTGGGGGGTAGGTTTCAACATAGGAGATTTGGGGGTGACACAAGCATTCAGTCTTTGGAGGGGAAAGGACATGCTTCACATGGGGATGAGAAGGAGATGCCGCCGTGCCTTGTGCCATGCAGACTGAGAGAGCTGAGACTCAGCCAGTGGGTGGCCTGGGATGGGAGGTGGGGGCCCACCTTGGGAACACAGACAGGAGCTTCTCTGCTGGTCCTGCAGGCTTTTCCTGGGTCTCTATGGAGGCCCCCCCACCTGCATCGCTGCTCTCTCCATTGGAGGCTGGCTGCTGCTCTGCGTTGATTACAGTTTGAAATGCTTGCTCAGTCCCATGCCACCGCACACCGCAGAAATCCCGTTTCCCTCTAATGAGGTTTCAGCTGGCGTGTTGGAAAGAAGAAAGGCTTTTAATTAGATTGGTCGTAATTGAGCTCCCAAACCACAGAAGCCTTTCTCTCAGAAGATAAAGACACGGATGCAATTAAGAGAAAGAAGCCACCTGAATGGAACACTGGCTAATTTTAAGTCCATTAAAAACAACAATTCCTTAATAAGTTGAGGCAAGGGACATATGTCCTGAAAGAGTTTATCAGCGCTTTCAAATAGCGCCGGGACCAGACTGGAACTAGAGCCCTCGTGCAGTGCAGATGCATGACTTCGTCAGGGACTGTTCACTCTGCACAGAGGGAGGTTAGCTCCACAGATTTTTCTACCCAAACCCCTGGAAGGTGTTATTTTGCAAAAGGGGGATATATTTTTCTTGTGACCAGACTGGCAACTTCTGGATACAGCCCCTGGCCTGAGGTCCCTGGGACTTGGTCCCCTGTCTTTCTCCAGGCAGCCTGATCCCCTCTACGAGATTACCTTCCTGCCCCCACTGTCATCTCTCAGAGGTGCCCAGGGCAAGCTCCTGGGGCAGGGACACTGATGATGTGTCCAAGAATCTCTGCCAGCTCCTTACACATTCAACACATTTGTATTTTAATGAGAAGCAGCATTCATTTCTCACTTGCATCCCTGCCCTGTGACCACGCCCCAGCAGATGGTGTTCTTTCTGCCGCTGGGTCTGTTTTTGTGAATGCTACCAGGGAACCAGGCCAGGTAGTTCCTTTAGAAGGAGCTCATGATCTCAGCCTCAGGGCATCTCAGCATTAATAAGCACTTTCCCGTGGAGGGGGTGAAATTGCTAGTTTGTGGAGTCTTTTTTGGTGGGAATTGAACACGAAATACTGAACAACAGCGTTCTTAGAACTACTGCAGGAAACTTGCTCATTTTTCTCTGTGCCCACCCTGGCTTTTGCTAGCCACTTTTGGGCCTTGCCAGCCATGATTAAAAAAAAAAAGCTGATTACATCCCAGTTGGAAAGGCCTGAAGTTGGCTAGCATCTTCTTTGAGTGCCTAGTGCGAGGGCAAAGCCACCGTTGATATGCTGCCTCACGCTCCCGGGACAGAATGCAGACCTGGCACCCTTCTGGAGCCCACACTCAGGTTGGAAATGTGGAAAGAGGGCTCTTGACCCAGATCCAGGTGTGAATGTTTCTTTCATAAGTCAGCTCACCTTTCTGACCCTTAGTTTGCTCACCTGGACAGGGCTTACCTTGCTTGTGTGTGTTAAGGGCCTGGTGTGCTGCCTGGTTGATGAAGGATGGAAGAAAAGGTAACAGACCCAGGAAGAAATGGGGCCCACACAGCATTGTTAGCACAGGGGCAGCAGCTGTTACGGGAGGGCTCCCTTTCCCCAGGGAGGGAAGCCTAAAATATTTCAATTTGCTTAAAACTCTATCCATTCTTATAATAAACTTGACTTTAAATGATTGGAATTTGCACCCAGTCTCATTTTTTTAAGTATACAAGTGATTTTATAAAGTGTAAGTAAAAATAAGTTAAACTGTTAGCAGGTATCATCTCTGGATGGTGGGGTTGCAGGGTTTTAATTTCCTCCTCTCTACTTTTCTGTCTGTGTAAGAGCTCTGTAATGAATGTGTAAATAGAAAAGCTTCACTCCAGGGAAATGCTGGAGTATATTTGGAAGTGCTTGGTGAATTCTAATTTCCACATATACCAACCGTCCCAACCATCAGACTGGTGCATGAATAATGGTATCATTTTCTTTTAGGTAAACTGTATAAACCATATCTTTGACTCTTTATTTTTTCCTTTAAAGGATGAGAAGAACCAAGTGTTGACCACCAACATTTGGCTGCAAATGGTAAGTTGCAACAGTGGCTGTCCTCGCCCATGGGGCTTCCTGCTCTTGCATCTGAGCTGCCTGAGCTGGAATTGCAGGCAGGGTCCCTGAGAGTATCCAGGACTGTCCTGCCTGCCTCCACGTTTGCCAGCAGCGGAGGAGACCACCCTACCTTTGCTGCATGTGCTGCATGCGCTACACCCTGCAAGGCTCAGTGCATGCTCCTGCTACACAACAGGGTGACTTGGGGAAGTTTCAAAAGCAGAAACATGCACATAAGTCGTAAATTGCAGGTTTGCATGTGAATGTCCACAGCCCGCACCATAACTGATCCCCAGAGCTCCAGAGTGCCTGCCCAGCTCCCCCTGTCTCTAGCCGTGCATGTCTTAATATGGCAGAGCAATGCCCAAGCCAGAAGCCTTCACGCTTCCTGCTGTAGTGATCTCTGCAAGAATTTCGAGATGCTGTGTTTCTTCATTCATGGGTTTTTTTACCTTGCCTTCTAAAGTTCTAACCTAGATTAATTAACTACAAAATATATCACTTCCATCCAGCTGTAAATATAAACATTTTAAAATAAAACTGTCAATCTCTATTTTAAATTGAATATATTTAAATTCCATATAATTTGACATGCCTATCGTTAATCAAAAAACATATACAAACCTGCCCTTCTTTACCTGATGGATATTTTACATAGTCCCCTTTTCTCTCTGCACTTACCTTTCTTTTCCACACAGAATTTTATCCTTGAAAGTCTTTTTATTAATGATTCTGACTTGGTTCTCTCCAATGTAAATATTTACATAAAAATTATTCCTTCAGAAAAGTGTTAAGAATTTTTCTTCTGGATTGATTTAGGATTACAGTGATTATTGGTACATAATTCATCAAGGTGAAACTAATTATACATTTTAATAATTATTAAATAAAAAATTGGAAATCTACCTCTCTACCAAAGATGGGGCTTTTTTAAAAATTAATACATTCATAGATGACTATTTTTTATTGCTAAAATTGAGACATAGATACAGATTTCACCATCAATTCTATAACTTTTAAAAATAGAAGTAGTAACATGTAGAGTTTAGAATGAAGGGCAGTTTGTGATAGCAGCATTACTCATTCCCTTGAACTTCTTACAGATTATATGCCAAAAATAATAGAGTCTGAGGGTCTTCCCTGTAGGGTTTAAAGGAACTTGCCTCAGTGTGTGGGTCCCACCTGCACACCTGTGCCCTCCATCTCCAGCCTCCCTCCTTTTGCCAAGGGCGCAGGGTCTGTTCTCCCATGGAAGCCAGCCCTTCCTCATTGGATGTGGTCCTGTCTCCTGACCCAGCTGTGAGGGCTTTCACAACTGCCCCTGTTGCCTCAAGCATCATAATAGTGTTTGTGTCACTCTCAGTATACAAATATACTGCCCTCTGGGGCTTCCCAGGTGGTGCTAATGGTAAAGAACCTGCCCGTCAATGCAAGAGACAAAAGAGACATGGGTTTGATCCCTGGGTCAGGAAGATCCCCTGGAGGAGGTCATGGCAACCCACTCCAGTATTCTTGCCTGGAAGTCCCATGGTCTAAGGAGCCTGTCCATAGGGTCGCACAGAGTCAGACACAACTGAAGTGACTTAGCATGCACCCATATTGCCCTCTGTCCCCATGAACCCATCTAGCGACTCCCTGGTTTTCTCTTACCTTTTACAGCAACATTCCCCTGAGCAGTGCCCTCCCAACCCAACTGTCCTCAATCTCTCCCTTTGCATTCTCACTTAAACCCACCTTCATCTGGCTGTGTGTGCAGACGTGCTCATTCGTGTCTCTTTGCAACCTCATGGACTGTAGCCCGCCAGGCTCCTTTGTCCATGGGATTTTCCAGGCAAGAATACTAGAGTGGGTTGCCCTTTGCTTCTTCAGGCTGTGTGTGAGCAAATCACTAACCCCCACCCAGGTTACTACATATTATGAGTAATATTTTTCCCCAATTTTTTTTGATGAGAATTTTCAACTATACCAACAAGTTGAATTTATAGTGAGCACCCATATACTTGCCTCCTGGATTCTATAATTACTTTTACTATACTTGCTTTATCCCATATCTGACCTTCTATTCATCTAGTTTATTTTTAAATTCAGCTCAGAAGTAGACGAGTGGGCAGTGGTGTCCTTTCACCCACATATTTCATGGAGATCTCAGAGTCCAGAGGGTTTATTTTTTCTTTCTTTCAAGGTAAAAGTATTTGCATACAATGCAGTACACAAATCCTAAAAGTGTATCTGACAGTGAATTGCCAATAATGCCTTCAGATCTGCAGCCACCACCCTTAACCCATGCAATCAAGACTGTCACATAGCTCTGGGAATTCTGGGGCATAATGAGAATGCTTCCTTTTTGACATAAAACCGTCCATTTCTCATGCCCCCTAAAGTGCAGAGCTGATGTGGACATTTTTCTCCTAGAGAGAGAGAGACACTGAATTTGTTCCTGACATGTCACATCATGTTTCTCTGAGTCTCTATTTCTTAGTCCTCAGTAAGTGATTGATCTTCAGCAATGAATGTGATTTGGCATTTTTTTTTTAACGGATGTTGGTTCCCAGGAAAAACATAACTGGATTATTACTTACTGCGTTGAGTTCAGGTGCTCCATAAATAGACATCCTCGCTTTGGAGGATGTCAGCAGAGGCCTCTAAATTTCTTTCAAGCACAGCATATTTCTAATTAAGACTTGCATTTGCGGAAGCATCTGCAGCTTCATTTGTTTTAAAACTCACCTTTTTATCTCGTGTAACTATTCAACTAATCTTTTCAAGCACCTGCTTTGTGGAAAGGCATTGCGAGGCCATGCGAGGGGGGCCCAGAAAAGGATGAGACCCAGTTTCTATTTGCAAACCATTCCCAATCTGGCTGTGTAATTTACACTCTAAAGAAGGTTCAGATATCAAGACCAAGTACCTACCTAGAGAATTGGCAGGAGGCAGGCTGGCTGTGTAGACCATGGAGTTGGCAGGTGGGGGGATTCTCTTTGATTTACAGAAATCAAAGGGAGAGGAGGAAAGGCATGGACTCAATGTATGTGGTGAGGGGAACCTGAGTGTTTCTAGGTGTGACCTCGGTAATTAATGCTTCATTCCAGGTGCCCACCCCTGGAAAACAAGTTGGGCACCTTTGTAATGTATGTCCTTATAAAGCTGGATGGCACACTTTATCTGGCACTTGGAGATAAAGCTGTAGTAATAGCTCACGGAGCAGCTGTAGTAATAGCTCCCAGCTGAATTTTAAGAAATCACAAGAATCTTGGATTTAGAACAGACCTTAACAGTTACCTAATCAAACCTCTGTCCTACTCTGTTTCCATCTGGAAAGGCTTGGTATTCCTACTGTGGCCTCAGCGTGGACCTGGGGAATTCAGACGTCACCCCCCACAGGCCTTGGAAGCTGCCCCAGAGCCATTTATAAGACAACCACGTTGATTCCTGCTCTTCGTGTTTCCCAAACTGGTGGCCGGCCCGGCCTGCCCAGCCCGGGCAATGGGAACAGAGGAGAAGTGAGGCTCCATGCTGAAGAGGGTCCAGGCCAGAGTCCCTAGGGTGGGAGGGCAGAAACGAGGACAGGAAGGGACAGAGGGCCCAGGAAATTGCTCTCAGCAGTTGGTTTTACTCTCCCTTGTTTCATGTTGCTGAATTCCTTTTCTGAACACCTGAATCCACATAATCTTTTCTCTAGATATTTAAACTCTGAGGTCAACATCCTACAAAGATGGGTTTTCTATACATTCAAAGAGAAGAGGCAGAAAAAAATTATCTTTGACGTACAGTTTGTTGATTGTATTTTCCTTTCTCTTACCTGCCCTTGATTTGTAGGAATTTACAGTTATTTAGAGAACCTGAAGGAAGAGAAAGTGTTTGGTCTCTCTGTTTACTTCTTTATATTCCTAGGAGAAAGCTGCTAGTATATTTTTTCTGCATATTAGTTTAATCATTTGGGGGGAGTCCTGTCAGACATAATCTGATTTAATCTATGAGAAGAACTTACAGAAGCCATTTCAGTTTCTAAAGAGATGTTTGAGCCATTCGGAGACTTTAAAAAAAAAAAAACTTACCTAAAAAAAGAAAACTGTCTTCTTTAATTTTGAATTTTTGAAATTTTGACCATTCTTCTGGTTTAGATTTCCCATCCTTCTGCTTATTTTCCACCTCCTAATTCTAATTATGGAATTAATAGCATCATAGAATATTAGATTCTAAACCATATTTTTTTTTCTGAAATGCTTGCCTTCTTCATTTCTGCATTCTTTATCAAAATAGAAATGCTACATATGTTGCTCATCGATGAAAGGTCAGTGGCTTGCTTAGGGCCATAAGAGCAACCCACCATTAAGCAAAACCTATGTCCACTGAGAGAAGAAAGTTTTGGGACGGAAGGAAGGAGGAGGCCCACCCACTCTCTTCCTCTGAGGTCAGAACAGTTGACGGAAGAATGTTCAGAGCATGTGTGTGTGAGGTGTTTCCTGACACCGACAGTTTGGCTGTATTCTGATTTAGCATTTGATCCTTTAGGTAAGAGCTCATTCCCATAGACTGCCCCCGTTTGAGACACCAAATGCAGACGGGGGCCGAGTGACCCATACTTCTGTCCAGCTAAGTTCAAATTCAGACACTCCCATTCCCTGCCTCACATTCAGGACTTTCCTTGAACAGCTCCTGGAATTCAAGAGAAACCTTTATCTTTGTTTAAAATTTATTATTGTATATAACCTAATATATAATATAGTATAATATAAAAGATGGGCTTCTCTGTTGTCTCTGGGAGGGTTGGCACTTCTAGGTTCATGCCTGTTTCCAGGTGCCTGCATGTGGGAGCCGTGCCAGCTGCTGTCTATACACAGATTTTGCTCAGCACCTCTGCCCTCAGATCTGTGATCTGAGTGGGCAGGAGTACTTTGGAGGATAGAACCCTACCCCCTGCTTGTTTATGGGCCCTTTTCCACATCCATTCTTAGGAAACCTTCATGAAAACCCAGGACAATGCTGCACTGAGGTTCCTGCTCCAACTTCTGACACTGAGCTGGCCTTTGCTTTCTCCATTTTTGGCTGAAGCTCAGTTGTTACAGCTCTCATGTCCTCTGGGATGTTGTGAGAGGGAGGATCCCTTTTCTTCTCAGAGTCATTTATCACACGCCTCCCAAGGCCATGTGATTTACTTGCTTTGACACTTTATCTCATTGCATCCTTATAGTGCCTGATGAGGTGCTGCATACAAGCAAAATGCAGCTCAGAGAGGGTGGTTTACCTGCTAGAGCTGACACAGCTCTTCTCTGCTGGAGCCTTGAGTACAAACCAAGGTCTGTTTGATCCTAAAGCTCTCAGTGGCCCTCTGTTTCTGCTGAGAGGATGATAGAGACTGAACTTGGCTTTAGACTAAGGGAGACCCCTAGAAGAGCAGCCCACCTTGTTGGGGTGCAGAATTTGCCTGTGCAAACAGATTAGTGGGGAATAACCAACCATAGTAGAGCCTGGGAGTCACCCAGCTTGAAGTCAGATAATGAAGTTCTGAGTCCTGACTCACTTCTCCAGGCCCCAGTTTCTCTTGTAAATAGGAATAGTCATGCTGGCATCCCAGTGTTCTGGTGAGCATGTACACATAGCAGACACTGAGCAAGCAGGCTGGCTGAGATACATGTCCCAGGGCACATGCGGCCAAGTAGGAGCATGGGTGGGGGAGATGGGAGGGGTCAGGAATTGCCAGGGAGGCTCCCTGCAGCTCAGACCTGGTTCCCTTAAGAGATGTTTACATTTGACTGACAAAGCGCTCCCTCTTCCCTGCCTCTCCTCTTGCTGTGGCCATCCTATCAGTGGGCAGAGTAGGTGGGCATCTATTTGCCACACCTACTTCCCTGGGCAGTTCTGGGAGTCCTGGGGCCCTGAGCCGGATAGTGGGGAAGATGAATGCCAGACTCTGTGCTAATCAGCTGCAGACCCAGAGGAGCATCCAGATATGAGAACATGGTCAGGAAAGCACAGGTGTTGGGCATGGAAGGGCTTGTGCCCAGAACATGGGAGAGAAAAGAAGGGAACACTGGGCAGCGGGGGCAGAGCTGGAGCCGCTGAAGCAAACACAGTGTGGCTGGTTACCCAGGCCTTTCTGCAAAACCAGTTGAACAAGATCGGCTTTTTTTTTTTTTTTCCCTTTATTTTTATTAGTTGGAGGCTAATTACTTTACATCATTGCAGTGGTTTTTGTCATACATTGAAATGAATTAGCCATGGATTTACATGTATTCCCCATCCCGGTCCCCCCTCCCACCTCCCTCTCCACCCGATCCCTCTGGGTCTTCCCAGTGCACCAGGCCCAAGCACTTGTCTCATGCACCCAACCTGGGCTGGTGATCTGTTTCACCCTAGATAATATACATGTTTCGATGCTGTTCTCTTGAAACATCCCACCATCTCCTTCTCCCAGAGTCCACAAGTCTGTTCCATACATCTGAGTCTCTTTTTCTGTTTTGCATATAGGGTTATTGTTACCATCTTTCTAAAGTCCATATATATGTGTTAGTATACTGTAATGGTCTTTATCTTTCTGGCTTACTTCGCTCTGTATAATGGGCTCCAGTTTCATCCATCTCATTAGAACTGATTCAAATGAATTCTTTTTAATGGCTGAGTAATATTCCATGGTGTATATGTCCCACAGCTTCCTCATCCATTCGTCTGCTGATGGGCATCTAGGTTGCTTCCATGTCCTGGCTATTATAAACAGTGCTGCGATGAACATTGGGGTGCACGTGTCTCTTTCAGATCTGGTTTCCTTGGTGTGTATGCCCAGAAGTGGGATTGCTGGGTCATATGGCAGTTCTATTTCCAGCTTTTTAAGAAATCTCCACACTGTTTTCCATAGTGGCTGTACTAATTTGCATTCCACCAACAGTGTAAGAGGGTTCCCTTTTCTCCACACCCTCTCCAGCATTTATTGCTTGTAGACTTTGGATAGCAGCCACAAGATCGGCTTTTTCTGGGTGCTGTGCTGTGCTGTCCTCCCCCAGCCATACACTTTTAATTTAGAAACATCGGCCAGGTGGGTCACCACCCTAAATGCCCCCAATGATGCTGCAACAAGTTGTCGTTGTTGTTTAGTTGCTAAGTCGTGTCTTACTCTTCTGCAACCCCATGGACTGTAGCCTGCCAGGCTCCTATGTCCATGAGACCTCCCCAGGCAAGGGTCGCCATTTCCTTCTCTAGGCGATCTTCCCAATCCAGGGGTCAAACCCACATCTCCTGCATTGCAGGTGGATTCTTTACCACTGAGTTACCAGGGATACTTCAACAATTTAAGTATCAATATATCCTCCTTCTCATGGTTCATGACTCTGGAATCCTGATCAGTTAGTTCAGTTCAGTCGCTCAGTTTTGTCTGACTCTGCAACCCCATGGACTGCAGCACACCAGACTTTCCTGTCCATCACCAACTCCCAGAGCTTGCTCAGACTCATGTCCATCGAGTTAGTGATGTCATTCAACCACCTCATGTCCCCTTCTCCTCCTGCCTTCAGTCTTCCCCAGCATCAGGGTCTTTTTCAATGAGTCATTTCTTTGCATCAGGTGGCCGAAGTATTGAAAGTAAAGAAATGCTGATACTTACCTGCATATTCCTTCTTCTCTGACTAACTGGGATGCTCGTCTGCCCTTTCCAGAGGATGGTGGGATCTCTGGGGCATGCCCTTTGACTGCTATTGCCAGTTTCAGTAGCTCTAGACCCACAACCCCTTGGCGGCAATTCTCAAATCTCAGCAGCTCTGAACATGACAGGGTTTTTTGTTTGTTTTTGTTTTTATGACTTTACATCAAACTGATCAGGTCTAAAATCAAACAAATTGATATGCAATTGAGGAATTTATTTTCAGTATAAATATGCATGTTTTGCTGCAGAAATAATGATTAATTATGAGGAATTGCCACTGGGCCAGCTTGGGGTGTTGCATCACATACCTTTTTAAATCTGAGAAAGTTTGCACTCAGAGCAGGTGGCTCCAGGGGGACTGAATACAGGATGGAGGCCTTAATGGCATCTGCTCCAATTATGCACACTTGTAGGAGCTGGTAAGTCCAAACCTGGCAGCCTTGCAGTCCTGGCTGGGTGCTGCTGGTTGCCCGGCCGTGCAGGTGGGGTCCTCCCTGAGCAGTCTTTACAAAGCCAGTGGACCTCAGGTAGCTCTGAGGTGCGTGGTCCGGGGGCAGAGAACTCCAGCAATGGACCTTCCTCTTACAAAGATCCCTCAAGAACCAATTTCAGGTTTAGCCCTCGAGAGACACACTCATGTTCACGTGCTTATAAATATTTCCTGAGCTTTACTCTGTACCCTCGTGTCCTGATTCAGCATTTTAGTACCAATGCCCATGTGTGCATTTTTGAGTTGTGGTGTCGGAAGCAGTATTTCTACCTGAAAGTAGTAATTCAAATCCAAATATAGGCCCTTAGACATTTCTGAGAGGTACCCCTGAAGCTGCATGAAGTTGTTTTATGGGAATAAATCTTCTACATTTTTCCAATTTAGTTCTTATTCTAACTGAAATAATGAATTTATTTGTCCAAAGTGTCCCGAAACTTTGAAAGTGAAACAGTTTTCATTTGGCTAGGGGAAAAAACCATCTGCTACAGGAGAGAAGGGCTTGGGGGTGTGCAATGGACTGAAATTAACTTTAATGCTACCCTCTGACTATGGTCATGGTGACAGCAGGATCTTAAATGTGATTTTTATGCTATTCATGGTCATTTAGTAAGGGATTATTTAATTCCCAGTTTGCATATATTTTGCAGATAGCAACTCAATTATGTAAATAAGTGTCTGGAACTCTTTTTGGCTTTGAACTTATCTAATAATCTCTCATAAGATATATTAGCAGGCAAGAAAGCAAAGTGCTGCTAATGCTGCCGTCTGTGTTTGTCAGACTTGGACAGATCACTATTTACAGTGGAATGCGTCTGAGTATCCAGGCGTGAAGACGGTTCGTTTCCCAGACGGCCAGATCTGGAAGCCAGACATTCTCCTCTACAACAGGTAAGCTCAGTGGACAAAAGGGAAAGAAATGAGTTTATTCTTGGATGTGTTTTAACAGTCAAGCATATTTGAGTATTTTTATAGAAATGCTGGGTACGTTATCTATAATTTGGGATTGTGGATCCCCATGAGGCTTTGTGGGAAGCATCTGTCCTGTGTCCGGCATTCTCTGTCCCAGCACGCAGGCCTGCAGCATCCAGCACGCTGCCCTCAATGACTGTGTCTGCAGGGCTGTGCGTTACAGATTTGTAGGTACTTGTGTTCATATTGGCACTGATTAATTTTTCATGTAGTCATAACTTTGCCTCTGAATGACAGCAGTTACAGTCACAGCAAGAGAAATTGCTGGTCAACAGGATTCATGGTTGGAGTCCACTGTCTGGACTCAGGTCCTCATTTAATGCACTGCACATTGAGAGCACTGCGGGGCGGCTAAGCACAGGAGGCCCTCATCTCCAGCCACACTCGGAAGCCTGTACCTGATGGGAGAAAGACAGGCGTCATCTTCTAATAGTCCATCTCCTGAGGTCAGGAAAAGAAGGATTTTTCAGTTAGCCAAGGCCATCTGATTTGTGGAGTGGAAGCCCAGAAGGCGGGTATCCAGGCGGATTAAATTTCCTGAAGTAATTTCTAAAATTATTTGCTAAACTACATAGTCAAATAAGGGAAACCAGAGCTTCTCTTTCCAATAAGATACAGGATGTGATAACTGTCTTAATACTCACGAAAGCTATTTCCTAGTGACGGCTGCTGTCTCTGGCCCCACTTGGAAAAGAGGAATCCCAGCACCTTTGTGACTCAGGAAAACAGTGGGCACAATGATCCCTCAGGACCAGCTGATGGGTTTGTCCTATGAGGACTGCTTCCAGAAGGCTGCGTGATTTTATGTCTTGTATCCACTTTTAATTCTCTGTCTTTCTTACTGGTATGATGTTTCATTTGAATCCTTGATCCTGTCTCTAGAAGATTACCTTTGCTGATTTGCCACCACTCCCCAGTAACTTAACTTAGTTCCTGCAGCCGAGTTTTGAAAGGTGTCTCGGGTCAGAGTAAGCAGTCCCCTATTGAGTAGAAGCACATGAGTTCCCATGCCTCCTCCCTGGCCCCTCTGTTTGCTAGGGGCTGTATTAGTTGCCCAGAGCTGCCAGAACAAAATAACCAGTAACTGGGTGACTTAAACAACAGAAGTTTATTTTCTCTTGGAGGCTGGAGGTCCCAGATCCAGGTGTCTGCAGGTCTGCAGGGTTGATTTCTTCTGAGGCCTCTCTCCATGGCTTATAGATGGCCATCTTCTCCCTGTGTCCTTACGTGGTCTCCCCACGTGTGTGTGTCTGTGTTCTCATCTTTGCTTGTGAAAACATTAGTCACGTTGGATTAGGGTTCACTCTGATGACTTCATTTTAACTTAGTTTTAGCTCGTTAAAGATTCCACCTCCAACTGCAGTTTCACTTGGAGATAGCTGGGCATGTGAATTAGCTAGGGGTTCAGCCTGTGACTTTCAAGGGGAGACAGTTCAGTCTATAACAGCAATATTGCCGTTGACTGCTTAAGGGCAAGGGTTTGGATGGACTAAGTGGGTGTAAATCTTAGCCATGATATTTACTATGTCTATAAGTCTCAGATGCCTCCTTTGCCCAATAGGGTAAGTGCCAACCTCACAGTCTGGAAGAATGAACTGCAGATGTACATAGCATGCTTGGTGTGGTACTCAGCAAAGAGTAAGCAATCTGTAAAGGTAGTTGTGTGCTCAAAGGCATGGAGATGAGAATCTCAGCTTTAAGTAAAATGGTTTGACATTTTGAAAAGAAATGCCAATAATGTTTTTCACTGTTCCCAATGCAGTTTTTTCATCTGAAATAAAAAATAAATATGGTAGAATTTTTAACAATGAGGCTTGAAGTGATGGTTCTTATGACTTACCTGTAAGATCTTTTTTTTTTTTTTTTTAACTGAGACAGGTTACCTTTATTCAGGCAAGGAGGGGTGACAGTCGGTCTAACTACCAGGCTGAGCAGGCGAGGGATAAGGGAGGCTTCAGGTGTGGGCTCAATCATGTCCGACTCTTTGCGACCCCATGGACTAAGGCGAGGGTGGGATGTTTCAAGAGAACAGCATTGAAACATGTATATTATCTAGGGTGAAACATATCACCAGCCCAGGTTGGGTACATGAGACAAGTGCTCGGGCCTGGTGCACTGGGAAGACCCAGAGGGATCGGGTGGAGAGGGAGGTGGGAGGGGGGACTGGGATGGGGAATACATGTAAACCTGTAAGATCTTAAACCCCAGTAAATGTTTGGTGCTTCTGACATTCTAACTAATGAAGAGTTTCCAAGTATTCTATACATACTTAAATTTCAAGGAACAAACATGCAGCCATCTCTGTCTGACAGATGCCACCAGGGACCAGGCCCCCAGGAATAATCCATCCCCTTCTTCCTCTTGTGTTTCCCTTGGAGCTCCATATAACCATCTCCCCTCTTCTCCTTTCCATATACCTGCTGACTGCCTCCACCAGCCTGTAGCACAGAGTCTATAGAGACTGCCTCCTCTCCTGCATTAATTTTCATCTGAGAAGTGAGATGTGGGACTTTTTACCTAAAGTAACTGTTGACTGCATGGCTGGCATGTCCACATTAGCACAGTGTGGGGTAGGAAGGTTATGAAAGTTACTGAAGCCAGCTGCAGACACAGCATCAGTTATCTTTCACTGCTTAAGTGACTCTGAATTTAGTGGCTTAAAAAAAAACAAAAAACACTACGCATTTTATTTCTCACCATGGGAGCTGGCTGGGCCCGTGTGGCTGCTTGTCTGTTCTATGAGACGTTGGCAGCAGGCAGTGGCTGGGGCTCAGATGAGCTTGGGTGTGGGGGTACACCCCCAGAGCTGGTGGTGGTGGTGATGGTGCTGTGGGTGGGGGCTCAGCTAGGGCTGCACCTGCACCACCCCGAGCGCCTCTTCCCTGTCTGAGCCTTTTTCATGTGGTCTGGTGACTCCGGGAGAGGCATGAAGTGGGGGCTGCCTGGCCCTTAGGGACCCAGGGTAGGAATTCAGACCAGCCCTTCACCTGGTCCTGCTGGGCAAAGTAGGGAGGGGCCCAGAGAAGGGAGGAGAAGTCAGTGCCCTTCTCCAGGGCACCAGGGAGGGAGGCAGGGAGGTTGCCCTGGGGAGACCAGCTGTCCAGACTGAGCGGGGACAGTGATGACACAGGAAGGTCAGTGAAGACTGGGGTGAGTGGGAGGACCAAAACAGGCATGCGTACATAATGAAGGGGTGCTCAGTTCAGGGCCCCTGTGGGGCCAGGAGGACAGGGAGATGCTGGGCTCCTCCTGCTGCCACTCCTCTTGCCCCAGGTGTGTGTGGACACCACCACCCTAAACTCCGCTGCCTCCCCTTCCACCTGCTGGTGGTCAGCTCAGGGATGTTCCCCAACTCCCGTCATTTATCCTTGCCCCCCTCAATGTGGGCTCTGCCTTCTCTTGACTCCAGACACCTCCCCCTGTCATGTGCTCTCCTAGAAAGAGGTTCCTGTGCCCCACAGCCTGCAGGCACTGCCCCCCCCTTCATGGGCTCCTGGAAAGCACCTCACAACTAAGCATGTACAGACAAGATGGAAGGAGGGTGGGGTACAGGCATGAGGCGGAGGAGTGAAGGGGGTGACCTGTGTGATGCTGGTGCTGCTAAACCCAACAAAGGAAGAAAGAGAAGGAAGAAAGTCACATCGGCAGCCCAGAAGATAGGAGCCTTGGTATCTGAGTCCAGAAATGGACACAGGAAGGAGTAAAAACAGGCCTGAGTTTAGTGAGATCCTGACTCTCTGATATTCTGTTATGGGAGATTTTGAGAGATGTTGAGTTTAGTACTTTCCTCCAGCCAAAGATTCTCACTCAAACTGATGTATTTCCTCAGTGAGCCCACGCGATGTCTCATTACATGTGTATGGTGAAGGTGGGGGCACTTCCTGAAGGAGGGGACACCCTTCTGTGTGAGCAATGGTTTGGAGGGGGGCATTGATTCACGGCAGGGGAAACATCACCCACATGTATGTAACATTTCTCCTTCTATTCCAGCTGAATTTTGTAGCCCAGGTGTGAGCCCCACATGGTTTTTGAGATAGAATCCATTTTCTGTGCTTTGAAGAGGCTGGGTCACTGCCTAATAGGGTCTGTGCATTATTTCTGGGATGGGCTGCTTTATTCTCCTGATGGATGGTGAACAAGTTTATTGCCCACCGGCTGGCTGGGTGGCTCTGAGGGGAGGACCAGGGCTAATAACAGCATTCCTGCTAGATGATGAACCCAGTGGTTTCTTGTTTGCGTCATTCTGCTTTAGTTTAAGCCTGCAGTTCCAGGATTTGTCTGAACACAATCTTACTCAAAGTGAGTAGCGATCCTGGATGACTTGTTACCATTTTCCTCCCTCCTTTTTGGCTTTTAATCTTCTGTGTAATTACATTTATTGATGTTCTAGAATAGGGGATACAAATCAATAAAATGGTTACCTGTGGGAGGGACAGGAAAGGGGCATAAGGGAATTTTCTGAGATAATGGGAGTGTCTGTATCTTGACTTTATGGTGGTTATAGTTACATGAATATAATCTGCACCAAAATTCAATGCAAGCCACACACCAAAAATCTGTGCTTGCTGCTTATAAATTATATATCAATTTGAAAAGTGTAATAGGTTAAATGGCAGATGGTTCACAGTGAACTGAAAGATACAATAAGCTGTCGATGCAGAGCGTAGCAAAGAGATGCACAAAGATGAAAAATAAGAGAAATGCTGTGACTTGCAGAATAGACTGAGATGTTCTTAAAGTGTTTAATTGGAGTCTAAGAAATAATAGAGAAAACGAGGGAAAAGCAATGTTTAAAGAAATAATGGCTGGGAATTTTCCAGAAATTATAAAAAATACCAGTCATCAGATAAAGGAATCCCAACCAATCCTAATTGGGACAAATGGTATTTACTGTAGTTCCCGTCTTTGCAGGGCAAATC